CCCACGCTAAACGATCGCTATCTGCTGCTACACCTGCTCGGCAGAGGAGGCTTTAGTGAAGTCTACAAAGTGAGATTTACATCTTGAAATTCATTATTTTATTGTGATGAGATGTACGTGTGTCTTTTTGTCAGACACTAATTCTGTTGTCACTGTTAGTAAAGGACATGTCACATGGTAGGACAATATGGACAATGTCTTAAATGTTTTAAAATTAAAACTTTAGTTTTAATGTACTTCTGAAGAAAATGAGTGGTGTGTGTGATTTTTAAATTTGACAGTTTGCTATTTTGGCAGGGTGCTATCTGAAAGTTGGGTTGACACTTTAATGAGCTACTTCGTAGGTTATTAGTTTGTCAAAGTTTCGTCAAAAATAATTGTATTTTTCGTGTGTTTAAACACCAGGCATTTGACCTAACGGAGCAAAGATATGTGGCTGTTAAAATCCACCAGCTGAACAAGAACTGGAGGGAGGAGAAAAAGGAAAACTATCACAAGTAAGTGATTTTCTGCTGCTGTTTAGCATATTTACTATTGTATCAATACATAAACTCTCAGGCAAAATTAAGTTGCATGCATCAGGCATCCTTTATTCTTTAGTACCTGGTTACACATCCCACTGCCTTAGTAACAGCACAAGTCTGGTCAGATAAGGATTACGCTAGTCTCTTGAGACACTTCTGTGGATTGGATGCACATTTCAGCTGGAGTTTGTATGTGCCTGTTTCACCTGCTGTTCCAAAATTAGAAATAAGATTGAGTTCTGGTGATTTTGCTGGTCGGTCAAACTGTCCCAGTGTCACATACAGCTACCCTCAGCTGTAGAATGTACAAGACTGGCATATTTCTTACCTGACAGAATTGGCATGTTATTCTCAAGTAGAATGAAGAGTGTGGATGTTCTAGCTTGTCATGATTAACTGTTGTTCTCCAGGCATGCATGCAGAGAATACAGAATCCACAAGGAGTTGGATCATCCCAGAATAGTCAAACTCTATGACTACTTCTCATTAGACACAGACTCGTAAGTTTATTCTTCTATTTGCTGGGTGACAATTGGGGAAAATGGTTCTGTTCTTAACTGATCTTAATTCTTTTCAGCCTTTTGGTTTTATATATATATAGTGTGTGTGTGTGTGTGTGTGTGTGTGTGTGTGGGATCCACAGGTGAAAATGCTTCTATTTTGCATTCTCTTCTAATTTCAAAGTTTTAGCTGTTTGACCACCATAATCTGAGTGTAAAGTACAACCTTTGAATCTTGATCATCACTGGAAAAAAAAGTATCTGTGTTTTTGAAAATGAAAATGTTAAAATGATTTTAAATTTTCTGCAGAATTTAAGCTCAGCTGTTGCCCTTGATGTGTGAAAAAAACATTATGATAGAAATGGACCAATAAGAATTCTCCATAATTAGGACTAAACAGCATTTATATTAATGAAATATTCAAACTTGGATGTAAACAAATTGTTGGCATGTACAGTACTGTGCTAAGCGCTAGATATCTGGTCAAATAAAAGTAAGTATTTATTTGTTCCAACAGTCACTACCATTAGATTATACGAACAACAACACATTGTGTATAATTTGATGTGTACAAAGATACCCATTTCCAGAGCTCTCTCCAAGAAAGCCTAGTGTTCAAACTTATCATCCAATAGCTAGTTTATCTAATACATACTTCATTAAAAGTATATCAGGTGAGCTGCTGATGAAATTGAACAAATCCACATGATGACTGGAACCAAAACTGTGTTCTTCTAACTATTTTTCTAACCAACAACCTTTTGTGAAAACAAAAATTCTACTTACATTTTGCTGTAGTACATGTTTCAGCAGACATCCTTATCTGGAGCAACTTAAAAACAGTAGACAGATGCAGGGTTGAGTTGTTCCTAGAGGAGTGGCATTCTTGCCGAATGAGAAATTGAACTCTACTCTTCCTGATACTGCTTAATTTTTCATTTTGCCAATGTGTAATGCACTTATACATGCTCAAAAGGTTTGTCTTTTGTGTGGTTCAGATTTCTCTGAAGTCGTCTTTCAAAGGAACGTTCTCCAGATTTTTTTTTCCCCCAGAATGTTTCTTAAAAGTGCACTTCTACTAAACTTCTTCGTATCACTGGTGTAGGTTCTGCACAGTTCTGGAGTTCTGTGAGGGGAACGATCTGGATTTCTACTTGAAGCAGCACAAGCTGATGTCTGAGAAGGAGGCTCGCTCCATCGTCATGCAGATTGTGAACGCTCTGAAATACCTGAACGAAATTCGCCCTCCAATCATCCATTATGACCTCAAACCAGGTGAGACTGGCCAAGGAGAACAGCATGAAACCTTTAGGACATGTTCATGTGAACATGCTTAAATGTCTTTTTGAGTTTTTATTTATTTATTTATTTTGTTTGAAAGAGGACATTAGGGCTGTACGGTATAGACAAAATGCTTGTATTGTGATATTGTCAGACACTGTAATTTCAGCAGTGTTACAGTGAATCAGTGACGGGATGCAGTTAAAGCTTGGCCTTTATTTTGACAAAAATAATTTATTGTTGGATTAAATAATCTTGAGTCATCAAAACACTCATTTTTTTTCCATATTGCTACCATTAGATTAAATACAAACTGATCTTAATGTTTTTCAGCCTATTGGTTCAGCGTTGCAATATCTAATATCACAGTGACTATTAAAATAATACTGTGCAGCTTCTATAACCATCTTATTCTGTCATATTCTGTCTTTCAGGTAACATATTGCTGGTAAATGGCACAGCGTGTGGAGAAATTAAAATCACTGATTTTGGCCTGTCAAAGATCATGGATGACGATAGTTATAATTCTGTGGATGGCATGGAGCTCACATCACAGGGAGCAGGAACCTACTGGTAAAAATCATCAAACATTTACACGTTATAACATTTACTTATTCGGTTTGTCTTCATTAAAATATCCTTTGTGCCTCAATATATTTGTCACGATTGTATATTGAATACTTGAGTATCTTACAAATTAGAGATTTGTTTTGGCTTCTTGACTGAATTGCAGGGTTGGGTATTTTCAAACAAGCTGCTGTTCTCTATCGTTGCTTCTCTTCTGTACTAGATCTGTCTTTGTTTGATTGTTTCAGGTATTTGCTGAGTATTTTTAAACATAACTGCTGTTCTCTGTAATTGCTTCTCTTCAGTGCCTGATCTGTCTTTGTTTGATTCAGGTATTTGCCCCCAGAGTGTTTTGTAGTGGGGAAAGAGCCACCGAAAATCTCAAATAAAGTGGACGTGTGGTCAGTGGGGGTCATCTTCTACCAGAGCCTCTATGGGAGGAAGGTAACTAATAAACACACACACGTACAAATGCTGTCATTTTGTTTTTGTTTCCCATTCTGACTGTTCTTCTCCACTGCATTTAGCCATTTGGACATAATCAGTCACAGCAGGACATTCTACAGGAGAACACCATTCTCAAAGCCACAGAGGTTCAGTTCCCTGCCAAGCCAGTGGTCTCCCCAGAAGCAAAGGTACAGATTAGTGGAAACATTGATGGCAGGCCACATCTGTGTTGACTAATCGGTCTTAGCATTCTTGGTTGACTGGTTGATGATTTTTTTTTATGTTTTCATTTCTTTAGATTTACAAGTGAATTCTAGTTAAAACAGATATTTCTGCAAATGAAAGTTTGGACTAATGTAGCTCATGCGTTTCCATATTAGCGCAAACTTTTGATACCAATAATAAGTCTGCAAGTGTTGCTCACTCCATTAATTAGTTAGCTAAAAGGTGTAATTTAATCGTTCACAACAATGTATAGTGAAATCAAACCTTCCATTTAAGATGGTTTAAGAAGATTTCTGACGGCAGGTTTTTATTATTAGGCTTTATTTGAAGGGGGTGGGCCCAGGTCTTAGGGCTCAGTCTTATTTTTGTGATTGGTGTTTTTCCCTTGGCTGTAATTCAGCTATTGATCACATTTCTGTGTGGTTTCTAGGCGTTTATCCGTCGCTGTCTGGCCTACAGAAAAGAGGACCGTATTGACGTGCACCAGCTGGCCAGTGACCCTTTCCTCATGCCTCACATCCGCAAATCTGTCAGCATACCACCGCCTCTGCCGCCCCCTGCACCATCCACATCAAACTCTTACAACAGCAGTGCCTCCAACTGACTTGCACACCCAAGTCTGTGAGAGTTTCTGTCCGTGTCTGATTCAGAATGAGAGGAAGTGGCAAGACTTGAGAAATCAGACATCAGTTTCTGTTGGAACAGAGAGACGTGGAGATGAAGAAGAAGAAGTAGAAGAAGAGAAACTTCACGAGTCTGTTTCTCAGTACACTGCGGAGGATGTGGAAAAGCACTTGTGGTTGTAAGGGAAGCATTACAGCCTGCGGAGCTCCTGATAAGTACTTGGGAAGTGCATAAAAATGCAGGTAGTTTGAGAATGGGCCATTTTGCATACCAGGTAATTACGCTCATTGAAAAGCGAGGGAGCGGATTTAAGAAGATTGACACGTCTTGTACTTGAGGTGACGTTTCTCGTCTGCTTCTGAATGAAACTGCACCAAGGCCCCATTTCCGAGGCTCTGTTTAAAGAGAATACTGGGGGGAAAAAATCAGCTCTACAGTCCTACTTGTTTAATGACCAAAGTTCAGCTAGAGTCAGTTTTTTTTTTGTTTTTTTTTTTTCCCCGTGTAACATATTTGTATTTTATGAACTATTTTAATGGTTTATTTTACAAAACCTCTCTTTTTTATTCTCGGAAATTGGAACTGGAATTGAACATGTTTAAGATGGTAAGCTTAATTTTTTAGTATAAATATTTTCAGATTTTTTTTTTTTTTCTCAATGAAAGTTCAAGTGGAAGAGCAGGAAAGCTTTGTTTGGTTTCACATAACTGCCTTTCAGCCATTAAAACCATCATTTCTATGTCTGTCTGATACCTTTTACTGTTTTTTTTTCTTGCCAAAATTCAGTCACATCACTGATGATTAATAATCCACACCTTCAAGCAGAGATTTTTCACTGTAATGTATATTGTGATATCAAAACAGGTAAGGAACAGCTGCAAGAAACTGCAAGTTTCCATCAACAGCTGCTCTTAAAAGCAGATTTAAAATATCTTTTTTAATCAAGTTACATTTTAAATGCTAAAATGTATTAAGTATGAATAAATTCTAAAGATTTCTTACAACCATTACTAGATGACAACGTTTTTGACATAATTTGTGCGCTGAAAATATGAGGCTGGCTTATGGGTGCTTTACAGCCACTTCTTTATGGGGGAACATCAGGGGTGCCTTTGTAGCCTCAAATGATCATCTATTCTAATCGTTTGGAAGATCAGATCTATCTGTCCGATCATTTATAGTAGTGAAGGTCAGCTGCTATACTGGATTAGTTTGGATAATTTCATGAAAGTCCTCCAACATAAGAAAATTCAGAAAGTTTAATACTTGAGGATAAATAAAGGTGAAACAAAGTGAGCACAAAAAGATGTTACTTCATTTATGCAATACTGTAGTCAAGAGAGTTGAGGGGAAAACATGTAAATAAGGAAAATGACATATCTTCTACTCACTGTGCAAACACAGTGACTGGGAACACTCATCATTTGTTTATGTTATAAACATGGATTTGTAACGGGTAACTGTGATAATTAGAAATGCACAATGATACTGAAATCAGGGGCCATAATTACAGAAAACTCCTAAGTCTGAGATCATATCTGCTTTGTTGTCTTGGTAACTTCAGTTCAGACTGAAGTTAGGACAGAAGCCTTTACAGAACAACAGTTCTTAAGTTTATAATCTTATTTCCAAATAAGAAAACAGTATTACAGAAACATCCTAAGTTGCCAAAATAACCTAAATATTCTCTTAACTTTAAGACAACCTCAGAACTGTCTTAACTACATTTATCTACATTTAAAACGGTGCTTTTAAACAGTGTTTTTAAGAACTCTGACACTGCACACTCGATCTCCACCATCTATTACTACCTTCATGTGTTAATGTTGATGAGAAAATATTACAGTGATGGTGGTGAACAATGAGGAGAGAGCTGAATGTGTGTCTGTTTATTAGGAGGAATATTGTTGGCACGCTCGGCTAAAGCGTTTGGGAAATGAAACTGAAACTGTGGAGCGGCGACGCCCTGATAAACAGCAAAAAGTGCTGACACGATATTCTTCACTCTCAGTTTATCGCACTTTAGTTTTATTCGACCTTCTTTACCTCAGTAACAGTAGCTAAAGTTAGCTGTCTGACTAACTTGATTAGCTACGTGTTTACGTTTCAGCTGTGCGCGTATGGTCGGTTGCAAGGTAACAGACACGACAGTTGATTGTCGACTTCAATCGATAACGTTAAGATTTCCTAACTTGAGATAAGAAAAGATGCTGTAAGATAAGATTCTTAAATTAAGATCAGATTTGCTTCTGTGATATTGTGATATCTTGACCGGTCAGATCTTAAGACAAAAAGATAGGAAGTTTCTGTAATACAGCCCCAGATCTGCATCAATGTATATATTCATTTTGCTGTCATATTGGACTCATGTTTAGATTTCATCGATATTTCAATCCGATATTTGATGACGTCTTTGCTGTACTTGGGCAGAGCGGTGTGTTTAGGCGACATTTGGCTGCGACGTGAAAATATCAGCATTTTATTCATTTTACGGATTTAATTTCTACAATTTAATACGTGTTTATGCACTAGTCAAGGACACTAGCTCACAGTTCCTATATCAGTGCACCCCTAGTGACTATCATTCATTGCTGTCATATCAAAATGTCATTTTACAATGAATGAACCAACAGAAATGTTGTAGAATGAGTTGAAATAAGTCATTACATATTATATTATTACAGTTCTATATTACGTCTGTTACAGTTATTTAGTCATCTTCTATAAAGTTAGATTTCATAGACAGGTTTTGTTAAGATAGTATAATTGATCACTGAACCTTAAAATCTACCCTCCACACACAAAGCAGCATGTTAGACGAAGGCTGGAACTCAGCTCTCTAGAATAGGAGATCTCCAGGAGGAGGGTTGGTGACCACTGCTATAAAGCAAAGGTGCCAAAATTATGCTCCTTTAGATTTGCTGTGCAGAGGTCAGTTCTAAGCCTAATCCAACACCACCTACAGATACTAATGCAGTGGTCTCCAGCCTTGGTCCTGGAGAGCTACCTTCCACCAGAGCCTATTTGCAAGCACAATCCGCCACACCTGCTCCAGCTAATCAACCTCTTCCCAAGTCCCTAATTGGCTGGATATGATGTATTAGAGTTGGGAAAAGGGCAAAGCAGCTTATTGGACACAGGTTGGAACTAAACTCTGCAGGACCAGGGGTTGTAGACCACTGTACTAAAGATTTTCAATAGCATCTACCAGAACAGTCAGGGTTGCTCAATCCTGGTCGTGGAGATCTACCACCCTGCACAGTTTAGCTCCAGTGAAGGCCTCCAGGGGCATCTGAGCATTGTGTGTTGGATCTGAACTCTCCAGGGTGGTAGATCTCCAGGACCATGACTGGGCACCCATGGTCAACAGGGTTGGAACTAAACCTTGCAGAAATGGACCGGGTATCCCTGACGATATTTCCCAAAGCAAGATCTCTTAGTCAACCTGGTTAACTTAGACCTAAAGTTTGTCCAGTAGAAATGCCATCTCTTCTCCAATTGAACTGGCTAGTTTTTGGCCTAAAGCAAAAGTTCAGCCCAAAATCATTTACCCCATTTGTAACTGATGACGTTTGCTTCTTTTTTTAGCTTTGCACTGGAGCTACAAGGCTAATGTAGCTAATAAAAAGCATATGATCACCAATTAGCTCCATGCTAAGTATGCCCAACTTGCCTCCATCTGTGTCAAGTAATCACACCTGCTTTTGTAGTTTTTGTCTATTTTTACATTGAACAATGTCATTACGGTGTCAGAAACCACACAAGCAAATCTGAGATAAGTCACTGCAGCTGGAATATTGTTTCAACTGTACATTTGGCCAAAACATCGCTGACTAATCAAGAAAAACAATTTTGAGAAATCAGTAAAGTCGGGCATGTAGAGGCTCTTTACACATCAAGTCGGGTACTCACGGTTTAGGCTATTCCTGCATTAACCATTATTTACCATCACGAAACTACCAAGCATTCAGTCTTCTAAGTCACTTCAGCAAGACTGTTTCCTGTTCTTCGCAGCTGATAAGACTTAGATGTCCATGCAGTGTTTCAACGGACAATGGAGAACAACGACAGGAGTGGACAAGTGTATGTTGAGGAACAGCTCCTCTGCACACAAGGTACACCTTAGGTACAAATGGTAGAAGTAGCAGTAAAAGTGTTATACTGGATACTATAGTACAAGAGAGATAGCTATTGTGTAACAACTGTTTGGGCATCGAAATTATTTCTACCCCATGTAATTATGAAGCTGGAGAGCCAGCCATGTGCTTGTGACTTGTAATTATGACATTTTCAGTTACTACTTGAAAGCCGCGAGAACGTGAACATCTTCCGAGCTTCTTCCAAGCATACAGAGGCACACGTTTATGACCGACTGTGGGGAAGTGGTGGGCCTCTGGGAGGCTGGTCCTGCTCTAGCGGTTGTAGAACTGGGAGGAGACCCAGGCCAAGCCCCATTTGAGGTTTGTAAGCATGAACTTGAGGGCTTTGGTCCACTGCTCCTCCGAATTAAACTGAGTCTTTATGGAGTAGGATCCTCCGCTGCCGCCCGTGTCCTCTATCTTCCCCTTATCCACGTCCATTCTGCTCGGAGAAGACAAATGCAGCATTAGCACTCAAACTGTCAGGGAGCACTGGGGATATATGGCGGAACAAGCCTCATGTAATCGTTCCCAGGTTTTTTCCTGGAGATCTAGCATCCTGCAGAGATTATTCACAGCCCTGCTGTATTACACGTGGCTCAAAAGCCCATTTCATGTGTCAAACCCAGAGCAGTGCTGGATGAACTGCTAATGAAGTTGCTGGATTCTGTGGTAACATTTTCCTCAAGGGCCTAAGCCTCTCATGACGGCTGACATAAATCTAAATAAAAATTTTAACGGCTCGTTCCAAGAAGCATCAGTTGTCAAGGGTGAAATCACATCAACTTTGAAAAAAGAACCCTTTAGGAAAACCACGTATTGGAATAAGCCTTTATGTAGGTTTATGCCAATTATCATTATAGAGCAGCCCTTCAGTAAAGTGTTACCGATTCTTTGGACATAAACTTTCTCCAGGAACAAGATAGGATGCCTCCAATCTAGACTAGTTTTGTCAGTTTTCATTCAGATTGTTCATATTCACATATTCTCTTGCCTGTATGGTAGACAGAAGCCGGTGTCACCCTTCTCAACCTCCTCTTTAAACTGCTGGACACAATCCAAAAAGGCCACCATTGCATGGTCAAATTTGTTATCCCAAAAGAAGCGCAGGCCGCCTGAGCAATACAGTGGTAACTCCTAAGAGATCAAGAGAATCACATGACAGTGACACAATGGATTAGACAAAAACAGAAAGGATTCAAATTAAGGTATCAGCAGTAAGGTGTCCATGTTAAACAGTTCAGGAAACAAAAAGTGAACTGCGCCTGAACAGGCTACACGCTGACCACACGCTGTTACTTACTTTTTTTCCTGGTTGCTGTTGGAACAAAACCTTGTACATTTACATTTACAGCACTTGGCAGATGCTCTTATCCAGAGCCACTTACAATTTGATCATTTTTACACAGGAAGGCGAAGGTATTGTTAGGAGACTTGCCCAAGGACCCTTATTGGTATAGTGTAGGGTGCCTACCTAGGTGGGGAATTGAACCCCACGCTACAGCGTCGAAGGCAGCGGTGTTACCTGCTTAATCTGTAGTTTCATTTAGCTGTTTTTTTTTGTAATAGTAAATCCAGCTCCCCTTTACAATGGAGCTTCCATTAAAATCTACAAATGTTTCAATTTTACAACAAATGTAAATGCAGGTGACCATACCCACCTTAGATTTGTCTGTAAGGGATTCCAAGTAGGAGTGGTTTCCATATGGAACTAGTCGATATCTGCCAAGAAACGACAGTTTGCAAATGATATAAAACCTAAGAACTTTCTGCTTGTGAATGTTAATTGAAACTATCGTTTATTACCATTAGGCATAGTTTGTTTTACACTTTTTTTTGTCATCTTCTATTTCTGTTAATGCAAAAAAAAAGCTCAGGATGCCATTCATAAGAGAGGCTCTGCAGGCTTGCTTCCAGTTAAAATGAAGACATCAAACCATAAAAAGTGCCTGTTGCTACACTCAAAACTATGCTGTTCTGGCATGAACTGGCGATTTTTATTTGAGTTGTTAAGCATGCTGGGCACTACCTCTGGAAACGAAGGCCCATCTTGTTAGCCAGAGCATGCAGAAGAAGCACAGTCTGGCCCCAGGCTGCGTTAATCTCATTCCATTCCACAGGCACGCTGGGTAAACGGCCAAGACGGAAGTTATTTATCGTTCCGAACTGCCCGCTGTGCCTACAGAGAAAAGGTCCGCAGAGAAATAAATGAGAAAACAATCACTGAACACTGAGAACACTTGTAAATAACTCTGTTTGAATATTGAAGGATCTGAGGAGGACAAAAAAACATCCACACACTGTTAATAGCTTCCAAACACTGGAATCTCATGACTTAGAGTGATGTTTCGAGATAATTGCATAACTGAGCTCTTCCAAGCCTCCCACCCTCCCCTTAGCATCACATCTCGGTCTGGCAGCTGTGTTCAGCGTTTTAAACATGTGTTTTAAACGTCTGTAATGAATCTCTTTGCGTGGACTCATTACACTGTGTTAGCTAAAAGAACTGAACAAGAGAATGATTTGAACAGTTACCAGATATGGAAGGTTGCATTGAAGACATTGGTCTTCTTTAGCCTGTCCAGCTGGGCCTGACAGTAACGCATCTGATTATCCACGCTTTTCAGTTCATCATCCAGCTCCAGCTGCTGCCGCTTGAACTCACAGTACTCTTTCTGATACCTGTGGAAAGGAGGCAGAGAGATCTAACATATGGCTACATGCATTACCAGTCAAAATGTCCATGTATGAATTTATATTAACAATACAAAAAATATTTTAAACAATTGTTTGATTTTCATTTAAGCTTGGAAAATATAGAAATTGAACCGCAATCATTATATCATCCTAATTACTATGTGTTTCTTGTTTACAGTTCCTCCTTAATGTATTTCAACCAATCATTTGTGTTGTGACGAGTGAGGGCGGGGTTTGAATAGCCCTATCTGGCCAGCCAATATTTCTGACTGGAATCATTCCATATAAACTACTTCACAGTTTTGACATCTTCATCATTATTTTACAATGTGAAGTTGTAAGAGTGTCAACTCTTCTGACTGGTAGTGTAAAAGATACATAAATCACTCAAAAATCCTTAATCTTGGCCAATTTTTCTCTTCTTAAAGTCACTGTCATTACGCTGGAACAATTGCTTCTTTCTTGGAAAGGCAACTACTATCCATGACCCAAAGATGCTACAGTGTCTATGAACAAATTAATGCTTTTAGAAAATAGTTATCCTCATGATTCTTTTGCATTAAGCTAAACGCCCAATAAGCTTTGATTCTTTGTCACCAACACACAGCCATCTTTAGGAAGTAATATTTTTGTGCTTACATACAGTGTAGTGCAAAAAGTTAGAGACCACACTGAAAATCTAGGCTTTAAACATGGATATAATCAACAAAGTTTGAGAAACAAAAACAAAAAGTTACGACAAGTAAAATGAGGAAGAATGATTCAATTCAATCCAATTATTCATATTAAAATCTTTGTACAAAGGTCAGACTTGTTTTTCAGTCTTATCACTTCCCCTGAAACTCATGTGCAACCGACTCTCAGATGTATTTCATCTATTGAACAGAGGCTTTTGCACAAACTTGTGGAGTCCATGCCAGCTCGAGTGCAAACAGTCATTAAAGCAAAAGGGCGGCATACAAATACTAAGAAATTCATGTACAAATTTCAAAAATTCTACTTTTCACTCAAATTGTTATGCTAATTTGTAATAAAGAATTGTGTATTAAACTAGAAAAACAATGCAAAATAGAAGCATTTTCAGTAGTGGTCTTAAGCTACGTTCATATTACAAGCCTCATTGCTCAAATCAGATTTTTTACTCAAATCTGATCTCCCTGACAGGATGGTTCACACTCGTTTAGTAAAGTGATTCAAACCTGTCATTAATGCGAACGAAACGGCGTCCTGAAATGACCCTCATGAGCACATCCTACTCAGTAACGTCACGTGAATGAATCACGTGCATCATCAGCACAAACTAACGAGCAGAACGAGCTTCGCTGAGAAGATAATTAACTCTGATCAGCTCTCAGCTTCATTATTAGAGCGAGACGAAAGAGAAAAAGGTGAGATGAGCTGCTTTTCCACCATTTACAGGCTTTAACTTCTGTTCGGCGCTGCTACCATGGTAACGCTGAATGATGGTGCATGTGCAGTGGAAAAAAACACATTAATTCTGATCTGAGCATCACATTAAGGTCACATGGCCACGAATTGGATACATATCCGGTCTAGGACCACATATGAAAGTGGCTCAGGTTGGATTTGAAAAGATCAGATTTGCGTGTCCACACAGCTCTGAAAACATCAGATCAGAGAGTCACATTAGAACAAAAAAATCTGATTTGTGCCACTTCAACCTGGTAATGTGAACGTAGCCTTAGACTTTTGGACCCCACTGTAACCAATGAAATTATAGGAAAACGACCTAGTACTTATTATGCGTTCTTTTGATTGTTTATGAGTGTAGACAGGTTGAATTATGTGAGCATAGACTAAGCTTAACACTGCTGCTAACTAGGCAGGTAAACTAGGTAACGACTTTACCTTGACGGCTCAGGTAGATTTTATTTCTACCATACTAGTACTAACTTCGCTAACATTAGTGCTAGCCTAGGTAATGCTATGATTGTTCAGACATTCTTTCTATGGTCAATCCGTCCATAATTACGCCACGATGAACAGCAGAGAAGGGAGGTGTTGTTTGCGTTGCTCTTTAAGCATTATAAAATGATCTAAACTCAGGCCCTGGTGGTCTAAAATGAATATGAGGTTTTCTCTAAGGCGAAGCTCTAAACTTTTTGGCTGCCTCTCCAAATTCACAGAAATCCCCTTTTGTGCACTCCTTTATTGTTTCTCTCTTTTCCCATCACTCACTGCAGCTCCTCTGTGTCCAGCTGCTGGGTGTGTGTGCGTGCCTCGGAGAGGTCCTTGGCCACGGCTTCCCGCTGCTCCTCGATGGCCTCCAGCTTCTGGATCAGTGCCTCTTCCTCCTGCCTGAGCTGCTGCAGCTCGTTCAGCAGCGAGCCCTCGTCCTCCTCCTGAAGCTGAGACAGCAGCTCCAGACAGTTCCTGTCAACCGAACCACACGGTCACTGTCAACCAAACTGTCAGGGTTCCTTTTTCTTTGAAGAAATCATTTTGCAGGACATTTTCTCTGAATGAAATTTGTATGAAACAGCCCTTAATAACTCTTATAACAATACACTCCGATATATATGATGACGTGCATTTACAAACAATACACGTTGTGTTGAAGTGAAAACAAGTTAACACAGCCTCTACAGAGAACGTACCTCAAATATAGTGTTTTTCTGCTAATTTTACTGCACAATTTCTATTTATTTGCTGAGTTTAAAGGGTCTATATCATAGAAAACTGAATTTCCCTTGCTTTTTAATGAAAGGCTGAGATGCAGTGTGTTAACACTGTTCACGTTTTTCCATTTACTTCCTACTCCATAAGGTTTAGCTATCAAAACTAAGCTGCAAAAACACCCATTTGAATTCACTGTTTGAATTCACAGTTTAACTCCGCCCATTCACAATGAAGTTATAAGGAGTGTTTAATTCTAAGGATTAAAAAGATGTTGTTAAACGGTCCTGTAAGAATCAATTATGACTGTTTCTGGTACATAAAACCTCACAAATGTTATAAATAAAATACAAGAAAAGTGTAGGATATGGGCCCTTTAACATATTGTGCCATAACTTTTGTACGAGCGGAATTCAGTGTTAAATTCAGTAAATAAACAGAATGTGTCCATTAAAATGAGCAGAAGTGTGTTCTCTGTAGATGATGTGTTAACTTATTTTCACTTAGAAAACTGACCGGGGTGCTCAAACTTTTGCATACGACTGTACATGGCCTTGTTCCACAACAGGGCTGTCCAGTCCTGGTCCTGGAGATCTACCACCTTGGAGAGTTCAGATTCAACACGTCTGGCTCTAATAGTCAGATGACGGCCTTAACTAACAGAATCAGGTGTGTTAGATCAGTGTTGGAGCTAAACTCTGTAGAGTGGCAGATCTCTAGGACCAGGACTGGGCAGTCCTGCTCTACAAGGTGCTCTGATGTAGTGCTCATCTGTCCACATGAGACACTACAGCACTCACTCTTCAAAACTTCAACAGACAGGGCATCAGCTCAAAAATATGCAATCTAAATGCCTTTATACCCCGACTTTACACTTTTCTTGGACCCCAAAAATATTTCCAACAAATTTTAGCAAATTTTCCATGTTTCCATGTGCATTTCCCAGAACCTGAATTTCCAGGTTTTCCAGCACATGTGGGAACCCTGTACTGTGGCACCCAATTGTGCAGCATATAAAACAGTTAGCAAAACGTCTGGCAGTCATGTGTTGATCTAAAGGTAGTAATTCAACTGCATCGATTTTGGAATCTACTGTAATAATATAATAAAATAAACGTTTTTTTTTTTGTTGCCAAAATGAAATTCTCAGTCTATTTTCAAATGTGTTCTTTGTAAGTATGCTGTATTGTTTTTATAATCTATATTCCATTAGTGTATGTATTTAGTGTATTTATAATTGTTTAAAAATAATTCTGAAATGTTCCAAAATAATCAAATCAAACTGATTTGTGAGGCGTAACTGAGACTTCAGAATCCTGATGTCCAAGTGTCCACATTCTTTTTTTCCATGCAAGATTGCTTACGGTTCTGCATTTTTACTGAAAAATCAAAAGTGTGATATTTATTTATTTATTGTTTCATTTTAACTATTTTAGCAGAATTTTATTAGGTACATTCCTGATATTTTTTACTATATTTATTACTTTTAAATAAAAAAACAACTAAAAACTCAAATTTATCAAATAGTCCTACTTGTAGTTCTGGCACTCATTTTCAGTGATGTTGAGCTGCGTGTCCAGGTGGTCCAGTAGTGTGTCCGTACACTCTTCACACAGCGGGTGGTCCACATCGGTCTGACCCGACATGATGTCAAACAGATCGCTTGTAACCTAGAGGACACATGGGGCATAAGGGCTCAATACACTGGAAAGCTTGGGTCAGCCATATGAAGGAGTACGAATACTAAATCGTCTGACCGCTCAGATAATATTCTTTAAAAAGGCATTCATAAAACTAGCATTTAATGTTATTTGTCATGTTATGCTGTATTCTGTAGTACAGCATTGTGTCCCACAGCCTCAGCAGTTTGACAGAATTCACGATTTCGTGTAGTTTTTAAGAGCTCTCTCACTACAATACCCATCATGCATTACGCAAATATCATAGCCTAGCCACTGATTTAGAGGCTAATAAATACTACTGTGAAAATTCAAAGCTATGAATGCTAAAGTGCTAAAGCTAAAGTTAAATTATGCATATATATGAGTGCGAAGCGAATTTAGCAAAATTTAGCAAGCTAGCCTGCTTTTTACCAGTAACATTAGCTTTCTGGCTTCCTTCTGCATTAGCCCAGTGGCACTGGCAAGTGAGCTAGTTAGCAAGGGGCGCACATTTTCCCCTACAAGTCAAAGCTGTTGTTAAAATGTAAATGATTAAAAGTGGGTTGTCCAAGTATTCAAACAATATCACATCAGAGACTGAAGCACTGCTTTAGAGACTATAGCTTTAGTACTGCAGGAGAAGAGCAGGCATGTTTACAACAGATGTACTTATGGTTAAATTTCTGATTTTGGAGTGTCACTTTAAGCCAACACAGCCTTCAGGCCAGAGATATTTCATCTCTGCCCTTTTAAAGTCTATAGATACACACATGACTTTGTTAAGCAATAGATGTAAAGCAATGGAAGGTACACTGATATATTTGGACTTGCAGCTAGTTACAGACAGATGGGGCCTGTATATTTAACTGTCTGTCAAAAGCATTTGGAAAGCACTGGAACGCTGGAAACCTAATCCATTCTGGGCTATCTTGGGAACAACTAACACCTCAGCAACAGTGGGGAAACAGAAACACAAAGTAAGTTATGTGTTTTAGTGTGGCTATTTCCAAAAAAAAGTGATACTATGTGGAAATGTGAAAACTAAGAGTCAGTATCAACGTATGAGCATAAAGAAGCTATTTAAATGCACTGTAACTGCATTGATTTATGTCCTGTGAGTTGAAACAACTGAAATTTCTGATGTTACTTGTTTTGTTATGGATTTAAAAATGGAATACAGACTATTAAAAAGCGTTCCTTTACGCTGTATGGAAATTCTGCTATACCTTTAGCCTGCGGCTCAGGTTCTCCATGGTGCCCCCGTCTGAGGCCTCTCCAATGAGAGTGAAGCTGTTTGCACTTTCCGTAGACATCATCCTACAGTTGACCACAGAATTAAGAACAAAAAAAAAATATTATCCTACATGCACCTATGGTAACGCATTATTAAACAGGCCCATATTGAACAAAATATGTGAATGAAGCAACTTTAGAGTCATCATACCTTGCAGGTGGGATATATTTCCGTGAAACTCCATCCTGCTTGCTCTCCACAAATGTTTCCTAGGAAAAAAAAATACACATATATAGAGCTACTACCTCTAAATTATTATATGGTCCTTTTTTTCTGAAGCAGAAGCTCATAAATGCAAAACTCGGGGTCATCCATCTGCTGACCCATAGAGACGGCAGTAGGATCAGCTCTAGGTTTGCAGGGTTATCGGGGCGGCCAGGGTTATCTGGGCTATTTGCTTGTATCTAAAGTTACTAGCTAATTAGCGAAGCCAAGGGAGCTGACCTAATTAAGAAATATTATTAACTTAGTTTGTAAATAATGACAAAAAAAATACTTAAATACATTGACATGCCACTTCATTAAGTACACCTCCTTGTATTTACACTCTTTGTCCATTTTATCAGCTTCACTTGCCATATAGGAGCACTTTGTGGTTCTACAATTACAGACTGTTGTTCATCTGTTTCTATGTATACTCTGTTAGCCTCCTTTTAACCTGTTCTCCAATGTTCAGGACCCCCACTAGACCACCCCAGAGCAATGAATGCATCACAGAACACTGCACTTACCTCAGGGGGGCTGTCAGCATCACTGCTTTCTGTTTGTTTACTAGGTGTTACGGTGACCAGTGGAGCTAAAAAGAGGGTTCCAACAGATCATAATTAAATTCAAACTAACATGAAACACACTTAACTGGATGAGCCATCAATAATGATTAAAAACCATTACATACTTGCAAGTTGGACACAGCTGATGTAATGTATTTATTAAACAAAAAGGATTTTGATTCAAAAGCGCACTATCCATTAAAAGTGGGGACACCTTGCCTTCTCTTGAAATGTTCAAAATATATAATATCACTGTCGATTAAGTAAAAAGAAACCCTGCAAAACAGCTACTTACTAATTCTAAATATCTTTCTTGGTATGAAGAGCAAGTTTTACCTTAAACGCATTTTCAAAAGCTATGTGTCCCCAAACTTTTGACCAGTACCGCAACCGATAAAACAAATTAAGACAAATCTCGACCACTTTCCACCGGCATAGTCAGTCATCATAAACTTACCGATAAGCTCCTGGATGGTCCCCCGGTCCAGGACGTTGAAGGACGTGTCCAGTTTCAGCGGTTGACTGCAGCGCTGACACACAAAGCTCACCTGCATCGTGGTGCTGGAAGACTTCGAGCCCTCCATGGCGCTGCAGCAGCACAGATACAAACACAGTGGTCACTGTTAACAAACATGTCAGTGTTTTCCTCTTCCTGCTCCAACACAGCCAGACTGAAGTCTAGCGAAAAATCTAATTTACCAAGTTTTTCTGTTTTCCCCAAATGTAGCTGATCAGCCAAGACGTTTGTCTTAAGTTAAAGCTCAAACTGCTGACACATAATGAAGGTGTGTACTCCACCAATAAGCACAGTGCAAACAGAAAAAATCAGAATCCAAAGTGGCTGTTACTGCTTTAAGCTATTTAATGTACTGTTGTCTTTTGTTTATAGTATGTCATACAGTGTGAAAACACAGGCAATTCAGCTTCTACAATTGGGGGGGGGGTGAACTGTAAATTTGATTTTTTTTGCATAACTATTGCTTGCTGAAAAGTTAAGCCATTTGCTTTTTCTAGGTTTGTACACTACATGCAACCTTTCATGTATTTTGTATTATGTTAAAAGGCAGAGTTTCTAGTCTAGTAAGAAGATTATAAGCTTGTTTCTTAACCCCTTAATGTGGGCCCACAGTCCTCACTCTCAAAACAGCTTAAATCACAAGCCTGTGAAGTCCTTATTTCACAAACCCATGAGTTTAACATTAAAAGAGCCTAAATAGTGGTTGTTTGTATACTGGCTGAGACTGATTTAGCAACAAATATGTCCTCCCAAAAAGTGGTGCTTATTTTCTCCTCTCAGTGACCCCAAATCTCTATGTGCTACATATTTTATTGCCTGCTCCAAATCCCCATTTGCTTTTTCTCTGTATAGGCTTTGCAAGGTTTTTTCATATTAATGTGCAAGACTTCCAGTCTAGTAAACAAGCTGTGAGTCCTTGTCGGCCCAGTAATACTTTGACCTCTGGTCTTTACTTTTTCTTGCTTCTTACTACTACTTGCTCCCACGCTTTTTATTTTTTGTTTTGGTTTAATATATCTAATTCAACTCATCAGTCCATGTCCAAGGACTTCATGAGGTTAAAATGGATGTGTTAGAGCAGGAAAACACTAAAGTGTGCAAGACAGTAGAGTTTAAGGATCAGGTCTGGGAACCACACTGACCTCTCCTGCAGTAAGGGAAAATATCGACAGGTCACAAAGGAAAAATCTGAATAAAGGAGTGGAGAAACTTTACAAGATAAAGATGCTTTTGAAAGTGTTCATTACTGGGGCATGGATAGCAGGAGCTTTGGTCACAAAGCCTGCTTTGCTGGCCAATGTTTCAGTAGGAACAGTGAGTCAAGTGACATTTGTATTTAGATCTATGGGAAATATACCAGTACATGGGGTTGGGCAGCAACAACAGTCCATCCACAGCTACACAGAGAGTGATATTCAAAGTCAATGAAACATCAGTTCTTTTGGAAAAGTGATGTTATATCCCTCCAGTACAGTTTCAGAGACATGTAGAATCTATGCATTGATGATTTTCTTGCAGTTCATGGTGGCCCAACACCTGACTTTAGTGGTCACCAACCCTGCTGAGAGATTCACCTTCCTGCAGCCTTTAGCTCCAAACCTGATCCACTACACATGATCCATCCATAGATTTTTGCCTGCAGAAGTCCTCAATTAGCTAAATGAGGTGGACTAGATTTGGGTTGGAGGTGAAATATGATACACCACTGCCTTTCTAAGTAGGGCTGAAAGATTAATCGTTTTTATATCGAAATCACAATTTAAGAGGGTGCAATTAAGCTAATAACCTAACCTAACTGCCTGTAGATGAGTTAGACCAATCAGAGGCAACCAAACAAACATATCGCTGTTGTTGGAAGAAAACTTCATATCTCCAAAATGGTAAATTTACAGGAGAAGGAAAAAAACATACTTTACTTTAATGTAAGTCAATGGAACCAAGTCGTTTTGGGTCATTTCTTTTGGTCCATTCATGATGAAATTTACATTAAATGTAAAGGGGAACAGGCATTTTCAAAAATGACAAAAATGGAGATACGAGGTTCCGATAGCAGCGACATGCTGTGACATCACAACCACAGCTAACTGGCAGTCTGGCATGTTCGATGTTCAAGTCTCAAGCCAGGAAAAGTGGACGTTCTAGCCTTCTTGACCAATATAACAGGTCTGGACTTACAGAAAATAGAAAATAAAATAAGAAAATAATTTAAATCACAGTCGCAATATCAGTCAGAAAAATCATAATTATATATTTTTCCCAAATCATTCAGCCCTATTTCTAGGACAGTTCATGTTGATTTTGTCTTTGTCACTCGTCTCTACTCCTACTTTTCCTAGTCAACGTGTCCAGCGTTCACATTCACCAACAAACGCTGAATACACATGCCAGTCACTGTCACGATTCAATTCTGTGAACTAGTATAGACTCTAAGTGAACCGTTCAAGAATGATCAGTTTGCTTCCATTTCCCAGAATCACTGCCTGTTTATGTACAGCATACAAACGTACAAAAAGAGAAAGTTGTTTGACGCTCAAAAAGCTTAGGTTAGTATCTTACATGTACACAAAAACAGCTTTTTAACTCGCCATTCATGGGATTAACATGGGCTGATCAGAGCACAGAGACACTGAAATCACTAAAATGTGCGTAACGTAAAGCAAAATCTGGGAGGAACAAATAAATAACGTTACATTCACCAGACACGTTTAGCTTTTTTTTTCCACCACAGACGATTAAAAACCAAAAAAGCTGTTGTTTTTATAAACAGCCGAAACGCTCAGCCTTCACTCCTGCACCACTTACACGACACTAGCTAAGGGAGCCACCGAGGCCGCACAACACGATCATTATTTTGGCTGAAACAGAATCATTTGAGTTTAGACAAAACGTCTAAATCCTTATTTAATAAATTCTGCCCAACATACACACAAATGAAATACCAAACCGTCTGAAAATCCGTGTTAAATCCTTTTTTTGTGTGTTGCAGCGGCAGCTTACCCGGCAGCTTCCTGTTGTTTGTTTGTTACTGGTGACGTTTGAGTGACGTAGGCACAGAGGCTTTTTTCGCTTATTTTATTTTATTTATTTATTGCATATTTATTTATTGTTTTCTTCAAATTTTGCACTTAAATGCTGACACATGTCAATTCAATCGTATTTTCCCCAAATCTATAGAAAAGAAAATATGTAAATATGAAAGTGTCGCGTGACCCCAGTCACGTGACAGAGAGTCGCGGGAAAAGCTGAACTGTTTCTTTTCTTTCGGACAGTTTAGAAGCTGCTCAGGTTTACCTCTAATAACTGAATAACCGCCTTATAAATAAATATATCTGTTCAAAACTCAACTCTGCAGGGATTTGGGGACACTTCGGGTACGTTTCTGTAGTCGTTCCTAAAGACTGTAGTTAGTTATGTAGCTGACTGTAGCATTACCGTTCACCTCACTGTAGCAGATAGGCTGAAGCCCTGATTGACTGGTTGCATAACAATGAGAAACAAACGGTATTTTCTCGACATGCGGTGATTTAGTGTCACTTTTCATGAAGATTAATGAAAACACAGAGTTGTTAGCTGTTCGATCTTTGACTAAAAATGGCGATAAATCTAGTTAATCTCTTGTGAATCGTCACAGTTATTGGCACTAGAATTTTCTATGAACGTCAAGGTCTAATAGAAGTGCATTCCCATTTCTAACCCACCTCCTTGTTTCTACGCTCATCGTCCATTTTATCAGCCCCACTTACTACATAGGAACACTTTGTAGTTCTACAGTTACAGACTGTAGTCCATCTGTTTCTCTGATACTTTGTTAGCCCCCTTTTACCCTGTTCTTCAGTGGTCAGGACCCCTATAGGACCAAGGCACAGAGCAGGTATTATTTGGATGGTGTGTCATTCTCAACGCTGCAGTGACACTGACGTGGTGGTGGTGTGTTAGTGTGTGCTGTGCTGGTACGAGTGGATCACACAGCAGTGATGCTGGAGTTTTTAAACACTGCGTCCACTCACTGTCCACTCTATTAGACACTCCTACCTTGTCAGTCCACCTTGTAGATGTAAAGTCAGAGACGATAGCTCATCTGCTGCTGCACAGTTTGTGTTGGTCATCCTCTAGTCCTGCATCAGCGGTCACAGGACGCTGCCCACAGGGCGCTGTTGGCAGGATATTTTTGGTTGGTGGGCTTTTCTCAGTCCAGCAGTGACACTGAGGTGTTTTAAAGGTTCCAGCACCCCCTGCGACCCAGGAGGATATGCAGCTTAGATAACGTGTGTGTATTCCTTGGTTGTCGTGATCTCATGTCTCACGTTGAACCATTATTTCTTCAGAAATGACTGCGCCAAAAGCCGAAGACGTCAAGAGGGGAATCGCTGTGATTTGGGAGAATTTACAGTGTCCGATATGGTGAGAATCTTTTGCTGCATGTAGAAGCTCTAAAGCTAAAGACAACACAAACAGTCATCAGTAGAACTAACCTAAATTTATTCTAGTACAGTCAGCATGATCAGATGTCAAGCAGATCTTTATGGAGATGTTAGCATAGATATATCTTCATATATTTTGTCTGAACGTTTTTGTCTAGTTTGGATTTGATGAACGCACCAGTATCGACCAGGTGCGACCACCAGTTTTGCAAGTGAGTTGCATTTTATTTATTATTTAATTTATTATTACTACATTAAGCAATTTATTTATTGTTATTACATTTATCAGTACAGTCATATGCAAAAGGTTGAGCGCCCCAGTCAAATGACGTGTCATTGATTTTCTAAGTGACAATAACTGAAAACGTCCTCTACAGAGAACACACTTCTGCTCAATTTAGCGCACAGTCACTGAACTAAACTGAACTGTTTATTCGCTGAATATCTTTCAGCCTTTCCAACTGTAGCTTGACCATGACGTTACCTAAGAGAAAAACCTTTTTGATTGTTTTATATTCAGTGCCGCCATATGAAATCATCACAGTGCAGCAATCGCAATCTGCTAGTAAAGGGATTTTTTAATTTTAGCCTGTTATAATAAACAAAACATTTCCATTTGATTTATACATCATATTTCAATAGTATTGGACATGTACAGTATTTTAAGGTATACACATTTTAACGGTCAAGGTTCTTTTAAAATGTAAAATCAGTTGCATATTTAAATATAAAATAAAGTTCTAGATCAAATTAACATATTGGGGAAAACGATAAATCGAAACCGTGACCGGTGCAAAAGTCATGGCACATTTTATACAGCAAATAATTTGAAATTGTTCACTACAATTTGCACACAATGTGCAAAAATATGCCTTATGTGAGGTTGTTCACTGTAGAGGATGCGTTAACTTTGTTTTTAACAAAAATGTAATTTGACCAGGGGTGTGATGCAAACTTTAGCATCTGACTATATCTGTAGTTATTGCAGTATAACAAAGTGCGGAGACAATTTGTGGTGTCACTGTGATTTTTATTGTAATTGCCAGTTCATTACAATGTGTGATTGACATATAAACTCTGTTCCAGATTCTGCATGATGAAGCTGCTTGAAAAGAGTAAAAGAAAAGAAGCAAACTGCCCTGTGTGCAAGATGAAGGTTACTAAAAGGTAATACTCATGAGAAAAGCTTAGTGATTAGTTTCACAGCTAATCAAAATTGGCTAATGCATACTAGATAAGCATGGTCACAATACGTATATTTTTACTTACACAAATATATATAAATGTATAATATAAATTTATATAATATATATGTGTGTGTGTGTGTGTGTGTGTATATATATATATATATATATATATATATATATATATATATGTATGTGCTAATTGTGTCTGTTTATTCAATAGGAGCCTGCAAGAAAGTCCAGGGTTCCAGAGACTGGTAGAAGGACTGCAGAATTTAGTCCAGTCTTATGAATTTGACACATGCACAAGCTGTAAGTGTTTGTATGTGAAATGGAACATATGTTGTCTAAGCAATTGAACATGCACAGACAAATCAAGTTTTAGGCTGGATGTATTCAAAATGTGTGTGTTATTATAAGGAGGCTGTGCTACTTACTGTAACACAAAATGCCCCTTTTATTTTTATTAGGAGCACTACAGAGCACTACAGTTTGGTTACAAACCATTATTATCACAATGGATACCAAATCAGCCACTAATGATTCTCATAAATAAATGAATGCAAGATTAAGTGTGTTTGTTCAATTAAGGCAAATCTTCATTTAGTTAAGTCATTATGCACTGCTTACAAACTTGTTGACCAAACAGGGTTCCGACTTTTGGATATGAAAAAATGCATTTCTAACGGGGTAAGCCAAGCGTATCCATGGTGCTCCCCTGTTATGCCTTTGGCATATTGTTTGGAGTAATAGTGTTTTTTTTGCAATTAATTGCACAATAATCACCCTTGACTCTGTCTGTGTATCGTCCTAGACTTGACAGGAACGCCACAGAAGCGGAAAGAAACAAGGTGAGGTTCACAAATCCAAACTGAGTTTAATTAAAAAATAATAATTAATAATAATTAAAAAATAAAATGATTGGTTCCTTAATTCTTCTGCTTGTTGCTGCTGTGTTAATCACCATTTTCCTTTGGTTAGTGTTGAAACACAATCAAGCGATCAGCAGTGCAGTGAAGAAAATGCCTTCTCAGAGAACGACATAGTGGAGAAGTCAGCATCTCGTTCCTCCACAGCAGCAGGTGAGATGATTAGTAATGCATGCATTGTTTTAGATGAGTTCTGTAATGTCTGGATAACATCATGTCTAGGCAGCGACAAAAGTTGAGACACGCTTCCTGATTTAGCAGTTTTCTGTAAAGGGCTGGGGTCAAACCACTAAATTTATATTTGTATTTTGTTAGACTTGAATATTCATTGTCATTCTTAACCAAAAAACTGAATAAAAGTAACTTTTTTTATTCATATTTACACATTGAATGGTCCTTTACTACATTGCATGTTTTTTTCAGTTTTTAAACTATTAAATAGCAGACAAGATTAATTTCTTACGATTTATTGTGTAGATAATCTTTTTGATAACTCATGAAGATCACGCAACCTCTACAATAAATGCATTAGGCCATCATACTCAACACAGATGACAACGCCCGGCAATACCTTGCGAACGCATGGTCCTGCTGTATAAACTCAATTAGCGTTTTTATGTTACTGTAGCTATTAAAAGACTCAATAATCAAGGGACACAGGATACAGGACAAATTGGAGTGCCTGTGTAATAGCTATACTTGCACACTTGCATGAAATAATATGTTTCTGATCTTTGAAATGTCTTACAAAATGAAAGCACAGAAAAGTCCTAAAGCTAATTTCCATTGTAGTTGTTGTAAGTCATATCAGCAGTGGCTTGGTCAGACCAATTTTTGGGGGTTGTGGGGGCAGTGGGGCAAAGAATCTGACAGTAGAGTTTTTGATTAAAATGTTTTAAAACAGTATTGAGCAAAAAGCAACTTTCTGCATGAAGGAAATAATACAAACTATATATGGCATTTCAAGTAAAAAGAATTTCTAAAAAACATTTCACTTGAAAAAAATGATCCTGACAGCTCTGATGCCTCAGCTGAAGAAATCTTCAACACTAAGCTGTGGGTAGCACTCTATTTATTACATATAGTTTAGATGTGATATTTAGTTAAATAACAGTGGGTAGCGCTGTCGCCTCACAGCAAGAAGGGCCTGGGTTCGATTCCTGGCTGGGCGACCGGGGTCCTTTCTGTGTGGAGTTTGCATGCTCTCCCCGTGTCCGCGTGGGTTTCCTCTGGGTACTCCGGTTTCCTCCCACAGTCAAAAGACATGCAGTCAGGCTGACTGGACATGCTAAGTTGCCCCTAGGTGTGAATGTGTGTGTGAATGTATATGTCTGTCTGTCTGCCTTGTGATGGACTGGCGACCTGTCCAGGGTGTATCCTGCCTTCTGCCCAATGACAGCTGGGATAGGCTCCAGCACCCCTCCGCGACCCAGAAGGATAGGCAGTTTAGATGATTGTGTGTGTGTGTGTGTGTGTGTGTGTGTGTGTGTGTGTGTGTGTGTGTT